TGTTTGGCCTCAATTTGTTTGGATTTTTACTTTTCTTTTATTTTTTGGGGACTTGAAAAGTTTTAAAATACTAGAGCAGGAAAAAAATAAACAAAAACGAAAACAAAACAATGACAACAGATGCTGAGAGCCAAATGTGAGAAAACAACCAAGAGGGTCTCAATCTTTACAAGAAATAACAATAACCCAGAAAACTATCTAACATGCTTGACAGAACGACCAGCTACAGAATGCATAGATAGAGGCAGTAGTAGAAGAAGTGAAAATAGACAAACATAGATTCAGTTAAGAAATTGAGAGAGAAAAGCAGGGGCATTGAGATACAAAGCAAAAATGGAACAAACCTGTAGGGGCAGATTGAAGCACCGGTCGTCTCGCACGGCAGCAGCAAACGGCACAAACCCTACGATCAAGAGTGAAATCGTGAGGGAGAGATAACTACGAATTCTGAGATAAGGGTGTGCGAGAGTGAAATTGTGGAGATTGATGAGGGGAGGTTTGATGAGGGAAAAAAAGAGAGGGAATTTGCTACCGCCCAATAATTGGATCACCCAAAAAAAAAAAATAACAATAATAATAATAATAATAATTTCAAAACAATTTTTAGATTTATTTTTTTGAAAAAAAATTAAAATAATTTGAGAGCAATAAAAATCAAAATTATATTTTTCAAATTTTAAAAAGTATTTATGACCTAAAAGATAAAAATATACAAAAATAATAAGTTTTTTTTTTTCACCCAAATTTTTTTTAGTTTTTTAGGGAAAAAAAATTTGAAACTAGTTTCTGAAAATAAAAACAAACATATTGAAATTGATAATCTAACCATATTCTTTGAAAAAGTTTAAATTATCTCAAATTAGTCATATCAACTTAAGAGTGTGTTTGGGCTCAATGGGTTCATTTTGTGATCTAATTCAATGATTATTTTAATTTTACAATTCAGTAACTAAAATATTTAAAGCTCTTTCAAAAATTATTTTGAATGATTATATTTAAAGCTCTTTCACAAATTACTAAATCACATCATTCCACTAGCAAAACTTTTACCGATGAATAGTTTTATCGTCGCTAAATGGTTAACTCTTTGCCCACGCCAACTTGTCGTTGCCAAAAGTATGCACACTAATAGCAATGCTCATTGTGTTGCTAAAACATAGCCTTGTAGCTAAAAGTTCTAAAATTTTGGCGCCAACTAAAAATTTTGTCGCTAAAACAATATTATGTTTTTTTAGTGACAGTAGCAAATTGCGTCGGTGAAGGTATATTTTTACCAACGAAATTGATCACTGTGTCGCCAAAAATATACTTTTAGCAATGAAAAATTGACGTCGTCGCCAAAAATAGTCGCCAAAAGTGTAATTTCTTGTAGTAATACAAAACGTCAACCATTTAAAATATTGAACTTTTCATGGCATGCAATTGCTGGCGTGAAAGATATGACAAAAAAAAAAAAATAGTGGGAAAATGAAAAATGGCGCCAAGCACCCAAAAAAAAAATAAAAAAAAAAAAAAAAAAAAACAAAAATACTCTCTATGTTTTTGTCACTCTGGCACTCCATCCGTTTCTCTTTTTCTCTACCATTCACACAAGCACAAACCCTACGCCACCATTCAAAACCACCACCACCAAAAATGTCTCACAGCGTGGTGGCGCCGCCCTGTTTCCCCACCGTGAGGTCGGTGGCGAACTGACCAAGGCAGAGAGCAAACACGAAGAAGGTGGCTAACACGAAACGTAACAGGAGCAGCGTTGGAGCAGTAGTGGGGTTCGGTGGAGAGATGAAGGAAGTTCGGTAGCAGTGCGTGGAGCCATCTGCACTCCACCATAGCTAATCCTCTCGATTTCAGACCTCTTGCATCAGGTAAACTCTCTCTCTCTCGTTCCCCCAATTTCAAACCCTAACTATAATTTTCAACTTCTCAGATCTTTGCCCCTTCGTTGTTCAACCTGGCAAGAGTTTCTTCACCTTGAATTTGCTAAACCTGCAGTTTTTGCCTCTTGTAATTAATTTGATTGACGTGGATTGAAGAAAACCCTATTTGCTTATACAATTGAAATATGAAAACTCAAACTTAATTTTTCGATTTGTGTGAATTTGCTTACAATTGAGATTGGATTTGTACACAGCTTTATGTTTATTTTAAAATGTTGTTAAATAAAAAATTGAGTTAAAAATTGAAAACTAGATTAAAGTAGTTTGATGATTAATTTTTATAATAATAAATTAAGGTAGTTAAATTAATTTAATTTAAAGTGTTATTAAATAAGAAATTTAGATAAAAAGATAAAACGAGGTTTGTTTCTTCTTCTTACATTGAAATTTAACTTTGACCAATTTTTTTTTTCCTTCTCCACTCTCAAAATATGCATGTGAAACAAACTCTCTATTAGTTTGGATGGAAATTTTTTTTCCCCTTCTTCTTACAATCCTAAATACGTATTATGGATTGTTTAAATGGTTGAGCTTCTGTGCGTAGAAATTCTTTGCAGGAAGTTGCTGAACCAATGCACATGTATAACATCTTCACATAATTTTAAAATATATACAATACTTTAAAATTATTCTACATGCTTGGTTGTTTGGTTGTGGTCCCTTCACCTAAGAATGCTTGCTGACATGATCTTCTCCTTTATTGCTATTATTATATACTCGAAAATTAAAAAATGAATAAAATTATGAAACAGAGGTGGAAAATGGAGGCCATTGAGAAATGTGATGTGATGGTGTACACGAAGATCTTCTTAAAGTTTCCATATAAGTTCTGGCCTTGTGGACACGAGCAGAGAGGTTACTACACGTTCTGGCAAGTTCGTATAATTTATTCAGAATTACTGTACTTGCATCCTAAAAGTCATTGTGTTTTTTTATTTTCTTTTATTTCGTACTGGGTGTGTTTTGTTATTTCATGGATTGTGAATCATTCTATTGAATTATCTGTGTGTGGACGACATTTCCCTTCACCCATCTATCAATTTTATTCTAATCCTTCTATCACTAGTTCCACATAACAAATAGCAGTTTTAAGACTTATTGTCTTCTATTGCAGTTTATTTTGAGTATCTAACGACTTTTGCTTTGTTTATTTGGGTAGGCCTTCAGATTCACTCTACAATGATCGTAGCCAGCCTGTACCTCAGATGCCACGACCACCTCCTTTTTTTTCCAAAAAACCATCATTCTGTTGACAATTTTGGTCCTTTTGTTGAAACTCAGGCCTCGTTTGGGAACATGCTAATTTAGTAATTTTTTGGCTATTTGGCTAAAATATGAGCTAAAAAAAACTAGTATGTTTGGGATGACTTTTTGGTTTTTTATGAAAAGATATGCAAAAAGTAGAGAGAAAAGAGAATCTTTGACTTTTTGGTATGGGTTGTTGGCTTTTTGGCTTAGTAACTTTTTGACTTTTTGGCTAAAAATGAGGGTTCCCAAACGAGGCCTCAGAGGTATTAGTCCATGACAATGACATTTATAAATTCTATGGTATATAGGTATCGACATTTGATGTTGAATGTGGTGTCACTTTTGCCCCACTGTAAGAAGGATAACAAGTTTGAATCTAAAGCAAGTAAAGGTGCAACACTGAATGAGCTTGTTGAACTCAAAGGCTGTTCTTCTTGCCTGTTTTTTGAGGTAATTGTTTTAATTGTTTCTCTTTTGGTAGTAATAAGTAGTGTAGTGCTTGGCTCTGTTTATTTATTTTTATCACTGATGGATTATCAAATGAATCAGCAGAATATGTTTTGAGTCAGTGTCATTCATGGAACTTGAGTTTGTTTCACTTTCTTTTGTAATGTTTTGGTGTGTTAATTAGGTGTGGGTTCTGATATTGTATAGAGTAACTAGTGCTACTGCATTTTTGAAGGATGCTTGGGGATTGAAACAAGTTGGAGCTATAGAGCAGAGTAATATATTTTATACTGTGTCTTTTTCATGGGGTTGATTACATTTTCTTCTACAATTTCAGCGCAGAAAACATAAAGACCTTTATCTATGGATGGTAAAGTGTCCCAATGGTCCATCAGTGAAGTTCTTAGTAAATGCTGGTAATTCTTTGCTCCAATCTCAAATGATATTGTAATATGAGATTTATAATGCATTTAGGCGTGTGCTCTTGCCTGTTTTGCTGGTTTTCTAAAATGTATATGTTTATGGACAACTTTTTCTCCTTTCATTCTCTTAAATACACTGAGAACTGTTACCTGGTTATTGATATTTGATTTGTTTATCAAGTTCACACCATGGAAGAATTGAAGCTTACTGGAAATCATTTGAAAGGCTCACGCCCTCTGGACTTTCTTGACTAATTTTGATAGAGACCCCCACTAGAAACTTTTGAAAGAGATAATCATGCAAGTATGCTGATCTTCCTTCCACCCTATAAAGTGATCTTCCCTTTGTTACTCTTATTTTCGTTCTCTCTCTCTTTCTCTTGGGTTTGTTTTCAGAAGGTGTATATTCTCCTTTTTTTGCAAAGTAGTGGAATATTTTTTTCTTTTCTCAGGGCTAAATTTCATTATGTGTTATTCTCTTTATAGTGGTCAGATTTGTAAAAATAGTACTAACTAACTAAATTTTGTTTTTCACAAATCATCCATCGCCTACAGTTCTTATACTCGCACTTAGGACAGTGGGAAACATTGTTACTAGTGATGATGCCCAAACTTAGGTATTAATGATCTCTACTTCTGTACTGTTAGTTCTTACCATAATATCAGTTTGATGCAATAAAAATCCTTTTTTGTTGTAGTGGTAGTTTATCAAAAACAGGAATCTCTATCCAACAACAATGAAAACGTATTAACTCACTTCAATCGTTAGGAATATTTTATACACAAAATTACATAAACTCTGATCGTAGGATTGCTTTTGTATGTTAGCCCTTTTGTATGTGTTGTTTGAAAATACAAAAGCAAACACTAAAAGCAGTCATTTTCTTTGATCAACAAATATAAAAGCATTACTTTTCTTTGATAATAATCTAGTAGAAAAAGCAAGAATTTTTTTTTGCAGACCCAAAGCTTCCTGTCTGATACCCAAAATATTCAATTTGATAGCTGTGAAGCAAAGTCCCACATCACCTAAGTAAGGAAATGTGAAATATATAAGCATGAGGGCACCCTCACCTCAATAGCTAGCTTTTGTGGTTGATTGGCTTGCTGCCTTAATACACATAATGCTTAAATCTTTTACTATTTTTGTGAAAAAAGGACTCCGTTGTTTTTTAAAGAAAATTAGAACAAAACAATAGGCTGAGAGTTGTAACACCAAATTTTACAGCAACCTATGGGTAAAAATTCTATGTTTTCTAGATAAATAAATGTAAAGGATCAATGGTGAAACCAGTCAAGCAGATTACCCTCCATGTGGACTTGAATAGAGCATGTGGTGCGCAAAATGAATGCGATTTCTTTATATAGTGCGGTCCGTCATTTAAGTTGATGTTTGAAGAGACAGCCATGGTGGTGGTATTTGGTGATTGGTATGTGGCATTGCCACGTGGTGTACATGGGCAAATTTTTTCACTGGAACACCACCCTTAATTAAAGGAAAGAGGTTTACACATCCCCTTTTAGAAGATTAGTGTTGCTACTTTTTTGTTACCATGCTTACATAATTTTTTTTTTTTTTAAAAGTAACATAGATGTTTATTTACTCCAGTGGTGAGAGAAAAAGCTGAAACCCTTTAAAAAGAAAATCTGATAGCAAAAGCAAGGAAAAAAGGATGGAAGTGTACCTCTTCGTATTGCCTTTCTCCTTTCTACAGTCGTTCTGCGTAGTTTTCCGCAATAGTGACTACTCAATTTCATGCTAACAGTAACAAATTAAGGAGCACCATCTCAAAGTCCAAATTGAAGACAATGAGGTAAATAATTCTTGAACCTAAAAATATACTTCTCTTTTCAGTAAAACAAAACAACAAAACTCAACTCAATTACACTAAACAATGTTACTACTTGCTCTTCTCCAGCTACAAGAAATATCAACTCCCATTGTTTTACTACATACATTAAAAATTTAAATACAAGAATAATTTGTTCCAACAACATTAACAAACTATATGCACTACAATCAATTTCATCCAACAAACTATTCTAAGCACATTAATTATTTGAGTGAAAAAATGTTATAAAGTTCTCACCTTTGTAACAATTTCATCAATCAATGGAACTAGCCTATCCATTAATTTGTTCAAAAGCATCAACAAACTGTTCTATTTTGATAGAATTAACAAATAATAAATTAATGGATACGCTAGTTATGATTATGTTTATTTTCTGTAACATTCATAATGCTTGCTGATCAAAAACATTCATATTGCTTCTATCACTGCTTCAATCAGGCTGAATTCACCCCAGAGGAACTTGATTCTCGGAAACGGTCACTAAATCTACAAGTATGTGTTGTTATTTCCTCATCCGTTTCTTTTATTATTTATGTCCTCTCCATATCTCAAATCCTGTTGTACCTGTCATAAGAGATTAAAGATTTTAACCACCCTCGGCAGAAATACAGTGCCTATATATTACCAATACCAAAACTCACAATCCTCAGCAGGTTTTGAGGATGGATTGGGGCAATCTCCAAGAGTTCAAAAAACTGCATATTCTACATTGATTATAGAAGAGAATGTGTTTCATTCAACCAACATTATTTATAGGATATAGTTTCAACAGTTTTTTGCATCACCCATCAATAGGGAATTTCGGGTCCTCAATTCAATATTGCTCATATTAATTTGCATTTTTTTCCTCTAATTAAATTCTTAGATTTTGACCATCTCTTTTTGGTTGCTTGGAATATTAGTTAGGTAATTAGATTTGCTGCATAACCATGTTTTGCACATGTTTTGCCCCTCCCAAAGGTCAATTCTTTGGGTGGTTGGCATGGAGAAGGAGGATCAAATCATCCAGCTATCTTCAAAGGATTGGAGTTCTCAATAATAATGCTATTGTTCTTTCTGTTTTCTGCAGGACTGAGGTGGAATCTGATGATCATGCGTTATTGCACTGTCCGTTTGTTTGGTTACTTTGGTCGCATGTTATTAGATGGTGGGGTTTAGTTTGGGCATTACCAGGCTTTGTTAATGACTTACTCCAATGGTGGGCCGGTGTAAATGTCAAAACTGGAGAGGAAAATCTGGAATTCCATTCTATTTGCTGTTTTATGGTCAGTTTGGAAGCTTAATTAGGAATTGATTTATTTCTTTGTGTTGTCATTGATTTATTTGTGTTGTGTTTAGGTGGAGGAATCAAAGTTTGTGTTTGAAGCTAGGATAATCTAGAGAATGGAGCTTCTAGTGCTATCTACTCTTCAATGGAAGATGAATTCTCTGACCCCACTTTCATTTGTTGATCACATTGTGAGGAGATTTGGATTTAAGCCAGATTTGTATTTGGAGTTTTTGTGGTGTATGGTCGCACAATCACTAGATTTATTCGATAAATCTTAAAAGTTGTCGATATGTTTAGAAAGTTACATATACATAGTTTTGGATGGTTTAAAATTTTTGTACAGTTTAGAACTTACGGATATAATTTTTGAATGTTTGAAATGTATAGATAATTGTTGAATGTTTATAATTTATTGATATAGTTTCTTTTTGATGTTTCAAATAATATTTTGGTGGTTGATTAATGTTTTGTGATGCTTGTTTGTAATATTTGTTAGATTGTACAAAATTGGTCAAATAAAACCTGTTGAATTTAAAAAAAAAAAAAAAAAAAAAATTGTATGTTCTACGACAGGCATAATAAGTTGTATTTTACATATTTTACAGCGCGTAATCAGTGTCATTATTTGTCTCACTAATTAACGACGTGCAAAAGTAGTAGAAAAAGTAATAACGACGTACAAAATTTGTCGTTAAATAGTTTTTAACAGCGTACTATAGTATGTCGTAGAAAAAATAACGACGACGCACAAAATTTATCTGTAAATAGTTTTTAACGGTGTACGAAGCATGTCATTGAAAGTGAATGACTTTCCATGACTGGTCATAATATGACGTGCGCCTGCACGTCGTAGAAGGGTTTTTGCGGCATGCATTGCGCGCCGTAAAAATCATTTTTTGTTATAGTGCGCTATTATTCAAAATTTCAGTTTGAATTCAAATTGAGGATGAGACATTCTTATCACCTAGATGGCCCTCTATAAATACGAGGACCATCACACAAGATGGGGATCAGAAAAATCAAAAAAATAAGAATATCAGAGAGAGAGAAAGAAATCAAGAGCTAGAAGAAAGGAAGTCTAGAGAACTCAAGAAATTACGCTACAAACGCAGAATGATGATGAATAGGTAAAGGGTTCCAAACCCAAGAATTGTACTTTGTATTCGAGAGTTCAAAACCCATTACAATTTCAATAAAATATTTATTTTTCTTAAATTGTCTTATGTTATTTATTTTGTTCTTCATTAATCGGAGGTTTCATTTATCTAAAATGTGTAATTAACGATCTGGAATACAGATCGGAAATAGGAATCTGCTATTCAAATAATCAACACTGTTTAGTCCAAAAAACTAAGCAGTGGGCATTTGTAATATAAAATTTTGAAATGTGTTGAAACACTTCATATTTTAAAACTTGTGTTTACAAATTCTGGCACGCCCAGTGAGACTTATTTCTTCTCCCATCTTTTGAAGAACAAAAAATATATATATAGTCGAAACTTACTGACATATTCTTTTTTTATAGGAATGCTGAAGCAACTGTCAAGAGACAAACCTACACTCCAGTGGTTCTGAAATCACCAAGGGTAGAGATAGCACCTATCACCCAAGGGGCTCCGGAGCAAATGCTCTTGGCTGTCCCAAAGGTAGAACTAGTGAAATCCTGGAAAGATGCACTTCTTTCCCTCATCACCCAAAGGGCGCCGTAGCGAAAGCTCTTGGCTGTCCCGAAGGTAACTGGTGTGACGAAGAAAGTCACACTTCTCCAGAAAGATGAAAGTTTGAGAAAGATTACTGAAGATTATGTGAAAGCGTCGAAACAGTACGCAACCATGAGGGCCACAGCCCGAACGAAGAGCTTCCTAATTCAAGCAAAGGAGGCTAATCAATTTGCAACTACGACTTTTGTTGTAACTTCAACAGGGGCAACAAAAAAATGTCGTGGCCCAACTACTCAAAAGGGTAGAAGACTCCATTAAAATGGTGGAGCCTGCCCAGAAGAAAGCCTCTGCTGAAAACATGGCCATCATTAGGGCCATTGGGAGGAGGGTAATGACCCAAACTCCTGTTGATGGAAAAAAGGCCTCTGTTGTTGAAAAAACAGTTGCGGCCTACGAACCGACAGTTCTGTTCAGAGCACAAAATCGGTCAAACCAAATCTCAGTCAACTCTCAGGAGCCAAAGGAACACCCATTGGCTCGACATGGTTCGAATAAGGAACAACCGTTGGTCCGACATAATAAGGAACACCCGTTGGCCCAACAAGGTTCGAATAAGGAACACCTGTTGGCCCAATGGGATTTGAATCAACATCAATTGGTCCGCTCTAAAAATGTAGAGACTGTTTTGAAAATTCATGAGGAATTTGCAAAAAAGCAAACGATTCCTTCTATGCCCCTAGGGGCTCGA